TGACAGCTTCCACGGTGACGCCTCCTAGAATGGAAAAAGCTGTCTGATTCTTTTCAAATGCACCAGTTTTGACTCTTGAAAGCTTAGACCCTGGAAATCGTGGTGGTCTCTACGGTGCTACCGGGGCTCAGATCAAACTCATCCTCAGGTCGCTTCTCCCTGCATCCGTTTCTTTTTTCCTCGTGACAAATGCTTCTAAAGGAATGCATTTTCCCAGCATTCGTTTTTGCACCCATTGCATATCAATGGCATGGAGCCAGCCCCGTAGCCCGAAATTTTGGGTTGGTGGGGCATGGGGAAATTTTGTGGGGCAGGAGGGGAGGAAGGGGGCAGCAGCTGTTGTGGGGGGGGGCCTCACATTTGAGGGGGCGGAGCCTCGAAAGGCCCCACTGTAGCTACGAGCCTGCATAGAGCACAGTGTGTAGAAAAAGCCCAGCAGGAACTCATTAGCATAATAGGCCACACCCAACAGCAGAAAGTCATTAGCCTCTTAGGCCACACCCCATGCCTTCACTTGGCTTGCCTGGGCAGGCCCCCCCTGGGAGGCTGGGGAAGGCACAGGGAGACATTTAAATGCCTCCCCGATCCTTCCAGGACCCCCCCTGGCCCGCCCGCCTCAGAGTCATGGGAGGGTGTCGCTCTCCTGGCCTTCCCTCTGCAGCCACACACGCAGAGGTTTTGGCTGTAGTGGGCGTGGCCAACTCTGAAGCCAGCCGGAACTCCGTTCCTGTGTGTTCCTGCCCAGCCCTGGAGCACACCAACGGCATTGAAATGGCACCCAAGAGGTGCCGAAGGAGCCAGTGAGAATCACCACTGGTGGCAACAGAGAGGAGTCCAATCGAAATGGGCAAAAACAGACCGCAGGTTTACTTTTCCGTTGCTAAATTCAGAAACGCAAATGGCCGCCTCGCTGCAGCTGTGGTCACTCTTCTGTTGCTGACGGGACGAAGGGTAGCCCAGTAAAGCAAAGTGGCACGTGACTCTCTCGGTGTGCTCCCTCCTCCTGTTGGGGTTAAGCAATCAAGCCCAGCGGTGACATGTCTTACCGCGCAGATGCCCCTTGGCAGAAAGCAGCGATCCGCCTTGTGTTCTCAGTTTGGAGCAGGGAGAGAGGATGGAACAGGATTCAGAAGCAGATGTCTGCCTCGTGGAGGCTACCGGCGTGTCACTCCTGCTCTGACATAGTGACGATTATTTTGTAAGGGAGACAGAAAGCTTCTAACAAGCAAGCTGGGCGGGGGAACTGCTGAAGGATCATACGCTCTCAGGCACTGTGACTGGTCATGCTCTGTAGTTCCCTTTCCTGACTCACAGATAACACATGAAACTGCCTTATACTCAGGGGTCGTTTCGTACAAAAAGAGCTAGGGGAACTCATTAGCATAACTCATTAGCATATGCCACACCCCCTGACGTCATCAGAAGTGTGTCATAAGGCCACACCCCCTGACATCACCGGAAGTGTGTCATTGGGCAAAAACAGACCGCAGGTTTACTTTTCCGTTGCTAAATTCAGAAACGCAAATGGCCGCCTCGCTGCAGCTGTGGTCACTCTTCTGTTGCTGACGGGACGAAGGGTAGCCCAGTAAAGCAAAGTGGCACGTGACTCTCTCGGTGTGCTCCCTCCTCCTGTTGGGGTTAAGAAATCAAGCCCAGCGGTGACATGTCTTACCGCGCAGATGCCCCTTGGCAGAAAGCAGCGATCCGCCTTGTGTTCTCAGTTTGGAGCAGGGAGAGAGGATGGAACAGGATTCAGAAGCAGATGTCTGCCTCGTGGAGGCTACCGGCGTGTCACTCCTGCTCTGACATAGTGACGATTATTTTGTAAGGGAGACAGAAAGCTTCTAACAAGCAAGCTGGGCGGGGGAACTGCTGAAGGATCATACGCTCCAAGGCATTGTGACTGGTCATGCTCTCTAGTTCCCTTTGTGACTGGTCATGCTCTCTAGTTCAGACCATCGGTCCATCAAGGTCAGTATTGTCTACTCCAGCTGGCAGCAGCTCTCCAGGGTCTCAGGCAGAGGTCTTTTAACGGGAGGAGATGGGGATTGAACCTGGGACCTCCTGCACGCAAAGCTCAGGCTCTTGCCCTGAGCCACAGCCCTTCCCTGAGTATACACTGCTTGTGCAACTAATTGAGCTGCTTCGCAGGGGTCATTTCGTAGAAAAAGAGGTACAGGAGCTCATTAGCATTTCCTGCAGGAGCTCACAGGAGCGGAGTTCCGGAAGTAAAGAGCCCAGGGGGCGGGCACATGCAACAAGCCCCACCCCCTGCTCCCAGCAGCCCTCAGTCAGAGCAAGAAGCAGCCAGGTAAGTTGCAGAGCTCCCCCCGGCCCACCAGCCCAGAACAGTCCAGTGGCACCTTTAAGACCAAGTTTTATTCAGGTACAAGCTCTCCCTCCTCTGCGAGGACAGATCTGCACATTCCTCCCCCCCTCCCCCAATAGCTAGCAATCCAGAACAGTCCAGTGGAGCCTGAGCGGTGGGTGTTGCCTTCTGACACACTTCCGGTGATGTCAGGGGGTGTGGCATATGCAAATAAGTTATGCTAATGAGTTATGCTAATGAGTTATGCTAATGAGTTATGCTAATGAGCTCCTGCACCTCTTTTTTTCTACCGAGCATAACTAATAACTAATAACTCTCTCCAGGCCTTCCCTGGCTTGCCCGGAAAAGCACAGGGAGGCATTTAAATGCCTCCCCATTCCTTCAAGGGCCTTCCCCAGCTCACCTGCTTGATGGGCAGGCCAGGGAAAGTTGGGGGTCTGGTGAGAGCGCTGCTGGGAGCTGGGAGCGGCGCTTGCCGCTCCTAAGCT